CTGTAAGCGATGGCGTCCACTTAAAACACATTTTACACTACACACACACACACACACACACACACACACACACACACACACACCATTTATATATGTAATCTCCCCTTATGCTGTAGTAAGAGGAAAGCAACCTCTTCCAGAACACTGTGAATGCACTACTTGCACAACTTCAAGTTGTGGCACAAGCAATAATTTGTTCTTGTGATAGTCTACCTACTAAAGGTACTTATAATGCCCCTATCACTGAGCACCTCGTATTTTTAATGTATTTATCCTTGTAGGGCAGGGCTATTACCTTCATTTTACAGAGAACAGACAGGCTAAATGACTTGCCCAAGGTCACACAAGATGTTTGTGGCAGAGCAGGATTGAATCTGGGTCTCCTGTAGCCCAGCCCAGTCCTATAATCATTGGACCATGCTTCCTATGTGTTTGACAGTGCTGTACGCTGTGGTGACATGACTTCATGTTTATCTTACGTTGAAAGATCTCAAACCCTGTCACCAAGCGGTTGAAAGTTTCCATGTGAGTGTGACGATTACGCATCCCCCTGTATTGATCACCGGCTGCTCTCTACAATTAAAATATTAACACTAAATAATGTTTTCCACATTAGAAGCAAGTGCACTGTAAGTGCTGATGCTGACAGCCGTGTTAGCCCAAAGGGCAGCCTGCTAGCAGCCATGTAGAGATAGAGAAAAAGGATGAATCTAGAGAAAGCGATATGCATTTCAAAAAGAGGTGATTCAACGGCATTTCACAAAAACATGCACACACTCCCATAGTTAAATGACCCTATATGTAATTGAACACCATGCACTTTTCAGTGAAAACATCATGTCCTTAACCTTCTGACCTTGTTTTAAAAAGAACTTGGAAACTATTTTTTTGATCTAGAAAAAAATAACATCGCATCTAACATCTACAAGCCATTGATCTATCTTCTAAAATTAGAGACCTCTAACCTAGTGACTAATTTAGTCCTCAGTGAGCCAATTGCCAAGTAATATCGATAAAGCCTATTGGCTAAGGTGCAGGAAGGAGGTGGTCACTGATTTGTCTGGAGACCCTATTACCCACTAATCCATGCACAGAATGACAAACAATTATGAAAAATAAAATAAAAAGTGCGGCTCAGTTTATGAAAAATAAATACCTAAAGCTTAACGCTCCTGTGAAAACATAGCACTTGCAACCTGTTGACCCAGCCAGGAAAGTGTTTAAAAATTCACATCTCTTCTATGTAATTTCCCCTTTCCCCAAGGCTGAAATTCCAAACTAGGGTAACCCTGGGGGACGTGCCTTCTAACTAGGGCAAGTCAACCTTTCCTGTTGAAATATTATGTGGCATCTGTCATGTTATTTGACAGGCCTGGAGTCATTTAAAGAAATTGACGTCTATACCTTTGTGTTCCTTTCCTCGTTACCAAAAATCCACTGTCCTCCTTAATTGTTACCATTTTTAGTTATAAAATTAGGAAATAGTTTTTGTAGGTGAAGAGTCCTATGTGTAAAACCACACAAACTTTGCACATAATTGGAATCCAGGAGAAGTATCAGAAGCAGTAGATAGCAGCATGTATTATATTAACTAGACTAAACCTTCCATGATCTCCTGTGAGTGCTATGAATATCTTTCTCAGTTTATAGTGTCTTAGACACTGCAGAGCGTAGTGAAAAGAGTAGTCCATGAAAAACAGCTTCATAAAGGAGTCTATGTTTTAAGGTAGAAAACTGTAATTTTAAATCATCTGGAAATTGAATCAGTGCATAATGCTGGAGATCAGCTGTCATTATAAAAATACTATCAGGGTTTGGAATGTAGGGAAACTCGAGGTATGGAGTTGTCATTTTAAAATTAATTCAGTCTATCGGAAGAGGAGATAAGGAGTTTCCCTTGTTAAATTTGTGCCCTTTGTTAATACCACAATATTCAAACAAATACAGGGCTTTCCAAATTTCAGTTTACTTTCTAGAAAACAAAAGGTAGTTCTCATTAAAAATAAAAATATTCACAAAGTAAACT